ATATATATATATATATATACATATATATATTTTATTATTTTACATTTCAATATATATATATTTATATGTATTATTTGTAATATATATATTACCAAGGGATGCAACAAAAGGCGAGTAATTAATAATAATAAACATGAATACACAATGTAGTGCATAGGCGATATTTTGGAATAAAAATATTACATGTCGATGTAACTATTTATATGGGAAAAATACGAGGTCTCATTCAGTAAATTGTACTTCTGAATAATAAGCATTTCCGCGGTTCTCGTCGTTTACCCTCTTCAAAGGAGAACTAGAGAACATCGATGATTGCCGCGGTCGCCGCGGCAGCGCGTAATGAGGCTTGTGTGTACGCGAGCTGCACAACGTAGCCCCTCGTAAGAAAATCTCGCGAGCTTCCACACGAGCCACGGAACGGGAATAGATAGCGTGATTTACCGCGCTCCATCGAGATTTACGGCACTTGCTGCTGCCGGTCTGTGCGTTAGCCACTCCCTTCCTCGGAAGCGGGGAACAAGAGTAGCGCGTTAGTGGCAGTCGTTCTCGGCTTAACTTTCTTAACTTTCATTTCCTAAGCGTACAAAATCTCACGTGGAAAATATCCGGCGATAAACGAAGAAAGCCAGTACCCGTAGGCTCGTAGATGGAGAGATAATTGCGGCTTTACATAGTTCATAGCTTCTTGGAGAATATACGAGCGCGCGATGCGCAGCCGTGATTAAACTAAACTCGGGGTTATATTTAAAATACGAGGCTATTAAAGAAGCGTCTATGTTAACCCTTAACCCTGGGCGCGAGATTACAGATTTACAATCACACCGTGAGAAAAAATATGGCTGGAGTTGTGTACCGCAGAAGATTCGCGGAAAACGATTGGCAACGGTTCGCATAACAAGAAGGAAAGTATTGCATAGCGACATATTTGGAAGATTTTAGGCTCCAAGTTAATTATAATGATTACGAATGCAAAAGAGAATTTTGCCGATTTGCCAATATTTAATTTTGAGAAATAAACTAAAAATAACTAAAACGTGATAATATACCTTCTATATGCTTGTAGGCAAAAACAAGCTCCAAGTTTACGTCGTCTACGTGATGTTTTGGTTTGGCAAATCGCTACACTCGCACCTTTCCTCTACGAGTGTTTTTCTTTTTCTCTTTGACGCGAAACCTTCGTGAATATTTCACGATGTATGATTTCGCCGGCAGGAGAGCTTTCGCACGCACATACATTTGTATTATATTTCCAAGCGAGAAAGGTGCACCGATTTTCCGCCTAATAAATAAATTTTTACTATGTCTCTCGTATGTTTCTGAAATTTGATAAGCAACTTTATATATGCGCATTTTAACATTTAAATAAATAAATTCTTTCTTAATAAAAAATATATTAATTAAAAAAAGTAAAAAAAAAGAAGATAAAATGCTCAAAAAGAAAGAAAAAGAAAGAGAGAGAGAGAAAGGAAGGAGGAAAGAAAATAAAAAAGCAATGAGAACATATTTGAACTCACGAATAATTGAATAAGCTCAATGAATTCAGCAATGTTAAAAAAAAAATAAAGTAAAAAGAATCTATTTTTAAGTTCATAAATATTACGAGAGTAATATAGAAACAGGGCATCTAATAAATCAGTATAAACGATCGGATTTTTTTTTAAGGCGCCATCGGCCAAAATGGAATTCTGCTTTCGATGTCGACGTAATGAGGAACACACACACAGGAATACATTTCCCACTTCATTTCCAGCAGCCTTCGGTCGTCCACGGGGGACGGTATATAAAACGACTTTTTATTCGCGCCTCGGTAATCAACGGGACATCTCCGCGCTTTCGAGTCGCCACGAAAATAAAAAACGAAATAAAGAAACAGAGAGAAAGAGAGGATTTCATTCCGTGTCGTAGGCGTCGATCCGATAGCCTCGCCGGGAACATCGCGCGGCAATTAAGGGAGAGAAAAGCGAACGAGAAAATCAGGATTGATCGCGAGTTATCTGCTTCGCCGATGTATCGGCGATGTCCGGCATTTTTTACATTGGCGAAAATAATTACGGAGTCCGCTTACAATCGCGGCCCCCGTCGCCGCGAGGAGCAGCGGCACAACGACGGAATCTGGTGCAGGCGTTTCTGGTCCCGCGCAAAACGCAGCTGTGAACGGTAAAAGGGTAATTATCGGTGGCGCCAGCTTGCGCGCCACGCGACACAGAGCACAGAGCCAGTATAAATTTATGCGCCATAAACCCCGAGGCAACATGGCGCGACAGCGAAATGCGGCAAAAGGGCAGTGAGTGAGAGCGACAGGAAAATCTCGTAATTGAGAAATCGGCCTTCTACGTAGTAAAACTCGTCCTGATCCCTGGTGATTTTACGCCGTCTCGTAAAAGGGAAGTATCGCGGAAGTCTCAAAATTTGCAAAAAAATTGCAAAAATTAATTTTTAATTTTAATCAATCTGAATCTAACTTAAAACTTTAAGTTAACCTGAGCGTATCCGTAATTAATTCGTATTTTATTCCGAAGAAAGACTTATTATGTATTGTTACATCAGCATTGTACGAGGTTTCTTTCTCTTCTTCATACTACGACTATTATTTTATACTCTCTTTAGTTTGTAGAGTATATTGCTCGCGATTGAGACACACCTTACAGAATTCTCGGCTGAAAAGCTATCTCTTAACGAGCAATCGTTGTATTCGTAAGATGTGTATTAGCTCATCAATAACAGTATCGTTTGCCGTACGTACATGTCGAAAGCGTCCAATCGTGTACAAAATTTTTTTGTACACTTTCGCGCAAGCAAATATACGCGTTTACGAAAGTACACTATTGCGTAATCGCGATCGCTTTTCCGTAATCGAGACATTGCGGTCGATACCCGAGGGACGACTTCCACGGTCGGCTGAAGACAGTTTTTCCCTCGCGAATCGACACGGACACACCGCAAACAATCGCCGCCGGTTCTCAGGAGCGGAACGAAAGCAAACCTTCCAGCATGGGTACAACGTACCCTCGGCGAGTCTTATATACCGGGATAATTAGAAGAGAATTGCTTTGTCATTTTCGACGTGCAATAGGGCGCTTAACGAGCTCGTTCGTAATCTGCGCGCGGTCCGTACCCCTTGTGTATACGGAATTTAATTAGATTCGAATAGCCTCTCTTACCACGAAAGAGGCTCGCGTCATTCTACGACGTAATTGCACTTTACACACAAAGGATATAATAATGCAACTTTTCTTCTACTTTCACGTTGAGCTTTTTCTTTGAGGAAAAACTGTCGTTTCGAAACTGTCGCGAGGTGCGTTCGTATTAAAAGTAATAAGGGGTGGTAGATCACCATATCTGACAAAAGTTGATTTTTATGTAGACTATCGCGTTTCCTCTGTGCTTTCTAGTCGGTTACAAAGCAAATATTTAGCTATTCTATGCATATTCTATCATAATCATGGTGTTCGGTTATCGTACGTTGTACGTTGTGTCCGGACAGTGTGCAAATAATACCGTTACAGGAACACGACGTCCTATACAGGCATATCGTATACACCTGGTGTCATTGCCTTCTGACGCCAATCGTGTGAGGTGTTTTAACGAGCGAACTTCTGCCTGCGAATTTTTTTTTTTCGCGCGTTAAGACGTTCCCAGATCTGATATCGACCCGTTGATGTTCGCCGCGCATTAGCAACCCGACACCGTTATAAATAATGTTCGTCGCTCTTTCGTGAACGTTAACAATGTGATCAATTACAACATCTAAGCCGCACAACGATACCTACACACAGGCAAAAAGAAGATCAACAAAAAGAAAATCCATTTGCCGGAGAAAGAGAGACCAACGGTGGCTATTATTCGCGCGTCTGATCGGAACGAGTGGGAGAATTTATCGTGGTGCAAGACTTAAAAAACTCACGCGGTGAACTCTCAACAATCGGATCGTTTGTTTTGAAAAGTAATACGAGTCAGTACAATTGAATTTCATAACAAGAAGACAAGAGAGATATGGCGGAGGATAAATGATACTCTCTGTGCTCGCTTGCTTAATAGGTCTGGATTGATAAGGTTAATGCTTTCTTACATTTCGTATTGTATGCTTCCCTGTTTCTTTAAAAAAAAAATTGATATTGATTTTAACGCTTAATGAAAATGTCATCTTCTCGTAATTCTCGTATAGAGAAAATATATATGATTAATTAATAAACGTTGAATTAAATTGAATAATCTTGTATTAAAAGATGAATTTATTTCATTGGTCAACAACAGCAAAATAAACGCCTCTTTCTTTAAATAGCAATAAATATCAACCATCGATACTGCCGTTAAGAGAAATTTAAATCTAAAAGAAAACGCAGATTGCGTAGAAAGCAATCGTGAATTCACGGAAAGGGAAATATCTCGTACATTACGTAGGTATTATCAGCGCACATATGTGCCGTTGTTTTGTCGGTGATTATTCCTCTTGTCTCTCTTCAAGAAGTGAAATAGCTTGCTGCAGAATCACAAATTATCATAACGACATTCCGAAGCTATCGTCAATGCCGTACGTTTGCTCGAAACCAAACTAAACACGACGATAAACAGTTTTATTTTCCAATGAAAAAAAGCATGCGACCTTTGATTTCACGCCGACATAATTTTCTCAGACGACACGCATTATTTTAATCGATATTACATCAAATAATTTATTTTAGCAAAAAAGTAAAATCAACAATAAAAATGGAATTACTTCCATTATATCGTGTACCATATATACACGTGAATTTTAATTCGACAACTTTAGATGAAAATTGCATTATTTTAATTCCGAAGGAGAACTATTTTTTAATTGCAGTCATATTCCGCATCCCGCGCGCGGTTTGAAACGTGACGGCCGTCACGAGGAGCGCAGAACTCCTCTCTCTTCCTCGTAACGAAATCGTGATCCAGTTTAATACGGGCCTCACGATTATTGCGAGAGATTGTCGCAGGCATTCGAGACCCGCGGGGCATCGGAACCATCGCTGCCGGGAAATGCTTTACGTGCGAATGGAAATCACGGACGGATTGCACGCCGAGGTGTCTTCCTCCGACGCGCGATTCCGACACCTGCGTGCCATTAGGCAAGAGAAAAAAACAAGACGGAGAGGATAGTCCAGAGAGAAAGAAAAAAAGAGATTAACGCGCGCCCGTCGGGAGCTGGGAACGAATCCATTAAGCTCGTTAGAATTTAAATCTGGAGCCGGCAAAAGCCGGCTTTTTTCCGTGCGGTTTCCGCCTGACGGGTGTGGCGTCTGTTCTCCATCCACATAGGCGACCACACGTCCCACATCTCCAACACGATCTGCGTTTTCTCTCTACGGGGCCGCGAGTGCGCGATAATCGAGCCGCGAGCTCGCCTACGTGGTAACTGTACATTGTGGGTCATTGCTTGCGATAAGTGCCCTGAATGTTCGACATTTTTGCGAGATGTTAATGGGCCCGATCCCTAGACACCGTGCGCGCGCGCGCGCGAGACACAACATCGCGCGCGCGGGGATATATTCTCCTTTATCGATTAGCCATGCCTATCCGACACGTCGACGTGTCGTAGAGAGAAGCGGTTATAGGCGAAATTAAATTTGCATAAACGTCCCAGGCTGGCTCGACCCGGCTCGCCCGCCCGATGCGGATTTATGCCCGTCTTCCGGGACGGAAATCGCGCGAGGCTGGAGGGCAATTACTCTCGTAGAGGAAATTCACCTACTTTTGACGATTATGCACGATTTCACGTGGAGATCTCGATCGCCTCGCCGATCCATCATTATTCGATACGCGGAATATCCTTCCCCCTTAAACGCTTTCCTGCTTAATGACACTTTGACAAATCGGGCCTTTCCTTCGCGAACGCGTAATTACAAAGTCACTTACTACCGGAAATGATTCTCTCTCGCCGAGTTAAATTGGAAGAATGCGAAGCGGGCAGACGTTGCTTCACAGCTCATTTCTCGACGAACTTTCTTTAACTTGGAGCACAACTTGGTAACTTAATTCCGAAAATTGTAACGCTACGACAAACGATCGATAATTATCGAACCCTTCCGCTATCGAATAAACAAGACGCAAACAATTGAAGTTATCGAATCCATTGAAAGTTTCCATTTAATAGAAGTCGATAATGGTCGATCGACTTCGAGTCGGGAGATCGCAGATTGTTAGCGGGTCGCAGATTAACGTCTCAACTCGCCGAAACTCAAGTGCAAAATACGCGATCGAAGATCCGTCGCGATTACGTGCGGGGGCACACGATCGATCGCTCTTTCGCGGACGTCCGCCCGGCCGAGAATGGCGCGCGTGACGTTTTTAATGGCGCTGATAACGCACTTGGCGCAATAATGCACACCTCGATGAATGAAGTGTATTTCTGTCGCGGTCCGTGGGAGTGCTCTCGTTTCCCAAGATAATCGCGCGCTAGAAACTCGTCGATCCTGTTCGGGGTGTTCGCCGAGCGAAACTCGAATCGCCGTGCCGATCCGACGTCACGCACGTGTACGCCTTATCGATACACACGGATTATTAGATGCGCGCGTATAATCGCACGACTCGCGCACGACTCCGAATTAACTTAAGCGATAAAGTAATTAACGGGATCGCGGGAGAGGGATTATCGATGCGCGCGGTTATCGGCGTCGTCCGGAGCTGCGACTTGAGATTCGATCGCGATTTCCGCGAATCGTGCGAATAAATCGCGAAGGCTCGATGAGCGATATCGCGGCGCTCGGCTACTAGATTTTACACGCTGGTTACCAATCGATTCCGTTAAATAAGATAAGTGATCTCTCTCTCTACGCATACGATTAAGACACCCCGGAGGTGTAATTCAAAGATAACAAATAGTTCAACGGGATCTTCTGTAATAACACGGTACGCTGATATTGAAATGAATGTCGATGTGAATACTGACGTCGTTTAAGTAGCTCCCTTACCTTCGTACGAGATGTGGCGAAAATCCTCGGTAGCACGAGCGATAGCGGCGAAGATCTGCAGCGTCACCGCGTACACGGTCCACCGCTCCATCTTGGGGGTCCCCGCTTCTGTAATGCAGAAGGTCCATTTTTTACTCTCTGACGTGCCCTTTAACGGGTCGTGATCGAAGCCGAGGAGTCGATTATCAGGATTTTAATTGGGAACATGAAACATTTAGCGCGGACTTTACCAGAATCAACGAGAAAGTCTGATTAACGACGATGTTGATCGAGCAGCAAAGAAATAGTCAAGAAGAGAGAGGAAGAGAAAGAAAAAAAAGAGATAGAACGAAATCGATACGAGTGAGGGGAGAGAGAGAGAGAGCGATAGGCTCTCCGTCTTCGTTCATTTCCTTGACATTTGCATGCCGGTGCCGTTAGGCCGCGTTCGACAAAACGACCTTGGACATTTTCTACGAGCGGGCGGGCATGCAATTAATTGCGTGGAGATAAACTGTACGGTTATCGGCGGCGCGATTAAGATCGATCGAGCTGTTTCCGAGCAGTTCGCGACGAACGATGCGATTCCAGAACATCCTCCGGATTCCTCCCGTGGCGGCGTGGCCAGTCCCTAGTGTAGCTCACGTCGCGTAATGTTCTCCAATTAAGTCACTGACGGTTTATCCAGTTGATCCGAAAAGATTTCGAGATCATTTTCACCGTTCCCGCGCTAGTCATTATTGCGAATCGTATTGCGACGATTAAATCCGCGACAATTAAGTTGCCGCGCGCTGCGATTTAAGTGTCTGGCTCGACGAGTTAATAGAGTCGAATTAATTCAAGAAACTGAATTAACTAGAAATTACAACTGGAAACGTTGAATGCGATAATGTGTCAAAGTTGCGCAAGAATTTCCAATTATAATAGACAACCGTAGCCATCCGTTTTACGATGAATTTATCTCAATGTTAATCGATAAATTTGCTATTTGAATTATTGCATATGTTTTTGCAAGATAATAAGGTACATTTTTTTTTTAATCAAAGCCATTTCTTTTTGTTTCAATTTTTTACGGCCAAAATACGTAGCAGTAAAAAAAAAAGACTCTTCAAGATCCAAAGTGACGTTCTTCTTATAACGGGACAAAGTAAGGGGGACAAAGAGGACAGAACCCGATACACACATCCAATTATCACGTGACTATTTAAAGGCTGGTCGAGTTAGTACGTCAGTCGTAGAATCGGCCTCTTACGACGTAGTACCATTACGTCGTAAGTAATTACCGGATCGCCTTGAGATTGGACAAAAATCGTGAACAAATCGAACACGACGGCTGGGATATCGCCAGAGAAGCTTTATATCTCGCCAGTGCTACCGCCCTTCCCGATGACTGGGATAATTAATTATGCGATCCGGAGCACTCGGATCAACAACGACGCTTCTGTCCCGTCAATTAACGTCCACCTTTGTTACTCGCTTCAGTCCGCTCACAAAAAAAAAACTGTCATGGTTATCTGGACGCGGATGAACGCGCGCTCGATCAAATGCGCAATCATATATGTTCTTTGTGTAAAAGGCAACGTAATGACGTTAATGAATAAGGATGATATCAATAACTTATTGTATTAAAGCTGCATCTATCTATATTATTTCGATAAAAGTTATTAAAAATAAAAACAGACGTTCCTTTAAAATTACTTTCCAGCGATCTCGTTTGCTGCCACAGTGAAATCGGATCCGCGTGGAAAATAAATCGTAATCGAATTGCCACGAGATTATTCGTTTAAAAAGGAAGTAATACGCAGTTATTAATTTTATCTTGAAATTTCAAAGGTGATTCTATTCGCCCCGTTCCACGACGATGACCGCGTAAAAACGGTTTCGGATCATACGATAATTCGGTCGATCTTTCCTTTTTTACAACGGTCAGCCGCGATTATCGCGTCCCAATTCGTTCCAGGCCTGGCGGCGACGAAAACGAAAAAAAAGGAGGGGAGGGGAAGGTGGCACGCGGATATCCGTACGTGCGCATTCACACCCCCGGCAGCGATTGAAACGACCTTAATGCACGCGAGGCTCCCGAGGAATGCAGATGCGCGTACGCGCCGCGTCTCTTCTCGCGAGATGATTTATTCGTCTTGGCATCGTGAGATCCGCCTGGGATACTCGGGAGAATACTCTATGGCGAAATCCCGGTGTTGTACGTCACGTATCGATATTCATAAATGTCACAAGCGGGACGGGGGGGAGGGGGGGCCACATGATTCTGACAGATTGACCTCACGTCTTATCTTTCGTGACGTTATACTCGACCGATTCGCGATTTAAGAGTTCAGATATAGAGGCGAAGCCGCTTACACGGCAACGGCAGAATTTTCGACTTGTCCCATTAAGAAAAGATAGAAAAAAAAAAAAAAGATAACATCTTTATTTACTTAACTGTCATCAGTTAGTAATACCACGTCAAATGGAGTATTGATATTGAGCAATGTCGATAGATATTTGATCATTTCTAAATCATTTATATTTGTTTTCGCGATAACGAAATCAGTTTTGGCGCGATTAAATGATATCTCCCGCTGAAGATACAGATTTAACGCTCCTCGCAAATCGAACGAAGGTTCAATCATTGCAGGCAAGCCATGTAAGTTTCATACGTTATCAAAAGTACATCTGTGAATTTATGTACACGAACGCCAATGATGAATGGATCAGCGAAATATCTGAAGGGGATGTCGTTATTATCGAAGAGCGTCTGACATGACAAATAAGAAATATCTACCTAATTAAGCTGATAAATGCATGTAGTATATGTACACACGGTAATTTGTTAGACTGCAAGCTCGGCATTTCAGTTGTTAATGCCAATTGAAAAGTACCCTTCTGAGTTTATCTATCACGTGAAGTCTGCGAATTGGTACGAGTTACAAAGTAAAAGAATAAACGATCACATTACGTATAACACGAATACATTATTTATACATATATGATTTATATATTTATAATAATGTAATTAACTGTGTCAATATTAATCTTTCTTGAGAAAAGAATATCTTCCCTGAAAAAAAAAGATATTTATTTCTCGTATTTTTCTTTATTTTTTTATCCATATAAATTAAGTCAATTTAATTATTAATAATTTAGATTAAATGTTACTAATATACTATAATTTTTTAAAGATATCAGGCACATTTTATTATATCGATTTCTCAAAAAGACACGTACTGATTTCTAATCTCTATTGAATTACACTGAAGATTTACGATTACGGTTTGATTAGTCTTGACTGAATATTGCTACTGACTAGTAACGAGCTTCCAAATTGCACCATTTAGAATCTCTTGGAATTCCCCTGTACTTATCTATATAACAAACATCATTACCCATTCCCAGAACTTGGCAACAGGTTAAGAATGAAAGAGTGTTGATTAGAGCAATCACTGCATTCTTTGTTCCGGCAATCTAATCGCCATTTCTAGATTTGCCATCATCTAGACCATAATCGCTCCTCTATTTGCAGGACCACGTGTCGATGTTTATGAATTCTCGGCTATCCCCCCCCTCCCTCCCCCCGCTCCCATATATTCCCCTGTATCTTACGACACGCCGAGCACGAGCTCAAGCTCATCCGTTATTTCGCTCGCATCCGCGACTCTATCGCGCTCGGATCTCAGGTTCGAGTAGCAGAATACACGTCCGCATTTCTATTCGCCTATCTAAGAAATGTACGACGTTGCTTTACCCGTCGCGGACCGTAGCAACGCGGACATTTATGACCGCGCCTATTAGTCTTTATACTCGGCGTCGCCGCGACGTGCCGAGATCTATCGCTATTTTGTGCTCGGACTCGGCTCGGGTCCCTGCGCCTATCTATCGCGCGACGACCTATTTATACCGTGTGCGCGTGTGTATATATCCGAGAGAAAGAGAGACCCGCGTGTACACCCGCGGTTTATTTTATTCCGAGGCGCGAAGTAAAATGCGCCTCGGCCCGCGTTTACCGTGAGGTAAACTCGTAAAACTCCGACTCGGACTCCCAGACGAAGCGCGCGCGTAGACCACACAGAGCGATCCGAAAGCGGAGGTGTACACACAAAGTAACACAATGGATCGGTATATACCACTCGATGGAGTGGAGAGTGTAAAGAAGTTAGAGCGAGTGTCACTTCCTTATCCTGCAGCGAAGCATCGTCCATCATTTTACATCGAGAAGCTCTGCGAGTGTACGTTGGATGTCGTTCGGCCCAAAAAAATGTGATCTCTACTTTAAAGTTATTTATAAAGATATTTGTTATTTTTATAAAAGAAAACTTCCTCAAGATACATTTGTCACATCTCTGTTTTTGATCGATCAATTTACTATTTGCCGTTTATAGGGCAAGGTTTTATATTTCGGTATTGTAAATTATCTCTACAGAGTCTCTCGTTCTTCATCGATGATATGATCCTCCTTTATGAAAAATAGATACAACATATCACAATGTATGTACCCCCTAGGTAGCTAACGGCATAATCTTTTATGTAAATTATGTAAATGGTGAAGCGATGTAAATATTTTCGCTTACAGTATTTTGAGGATTAACGAGGATTGTCTCCATAAAAGACCGGTCCCCGTGAGAGGCCGTAACATATTTCGGGGCGTCAAGCAACGTGAATGTACCAAATCGATATTCAGAAAAGAACCGGTATGTCGCAGCGTGATATGACTGTCGGCCAAATCGATATTACGCTCGCATATTATAGTGAAAATAGCGCCATAATATGTTCACGTTGAAAGATAATGTTGCCTAATAATACATTCCCTGGCCGCGCGCACCCAAATAATTCATCGTGACTGTTCGTAATTATTTCTCATTCAGGCGGCCGTCACATTTGTTCAAACAAACGTCCTCATTTGCTCATATGAGATCCACGGTCAGAAGAAAATACGGTTGATCGTGGACACCCCGTGCACGGTGATCCAGGTGTATAAATGCCAGTGAACATGGATACGGACTGACACGTCGTGGACCACTACGAGAGACAGACGGCATCGGACGGATGGCGAACGATAGAGACTAAGCAAGGTCGACGACCTCACCTACAACTTGATACTACCAGCGGTTGCTCCTTTACGCCAGGATCGAGAC